AACATCTTCCATAGAACTACACTATTGTCCCTAGAATGCACACCATCATGGCATCTAAAAATTCAAACACAGGACAAGGTGTTTAGAACCCTTAAATTTGAAATTTGGGCATATAGTACTAGGTTTCAAAACACTCTCAATGCGGGCCAAAACAATTCAATCATCCATATGTGCTTGGAGTCCTCAAATTTTTTAAATTCCAGCAATAATGTAGGCTCCAAAGCATTCAAAATATATGCCAAATAATCATTCACACACATAAATCATGAAACACCCCCACACTCAAGCATGACATTGTTCTCAATTGACGAAAGATAAGGATGGTAGAACGAAGTTACCATATTAGGTGTGAAAGATGGTGGACATAACAAGAGGATGGGTGAGACTCGAGAGATTAACTCAACAACCAAAACACCACATGCTCCCCAAAGGTTGACTTATTCAAGGAGAAAGAAATGTTAATCGGTGGGTTGTCTCCCAACAAGCGCTTATTTAACGTCATGAGCTGGACGAGGGCTCCTAAATCTTGGTCCACCCCAAAACCTCCTTGAACTTGAGTTTCTCGTCGGTGATGCGGAGGCACAAGTAACGAGCATGTGATGCTTCAAATGATGTAAATGGCTCGTGGACTTGATGAAAGTTGATGCTCCACCCATGAGACCTCTTCTTCTTTCCTTCTACTTTCTTCTCTTTGCCCCACCCATGTAAGTGTCATGGAAAATTTGTTCCTCCCATTGGGAATAATCAAGATCTTCCTCTTCTTTGATGCTCACTTCCTCCTCCTCAACCCCTTATCTCACCTTCCCATCCTTGTCTTCAAGCAAAAATTGGAGGGAAAGATGTCATGCAAGGTTGTTGATAAGGTTATCTTGCTCCTCCTCCCTTGTGACTTGTTCTTCAAAGTTGGTCGTGGGATGGGGGAAAAAGTGAAAGTTATCAATGAGACACTCTTGATCAACTTCACCACGAGAGCTCTCTGAGATGAGTTATGCTTGCTCCGCATAGTCATCATCAATCGCCTCTTCAACCTCATCTTCCTCTTCAAAGAATAGCACGATTCTTGATGCTAGACTGGGTAACTGACCGAGCTATGTAGAGAGAAGTCTACTCAGTGCCCAAGAGTTTTTGTGTAATGGTATGAGGTGGCGGGTAGGAAATGGGGAAAATGTGAGGATATGGGGCAATCAATGGTTCCCGAACTCAATAGTGGGTTTTGTAGATGCGGCGCCAAGTGGTGTGCTAGTGGACTCCATGGTTCGTGACCTAATTGATCCTATTACGGAGCAGTGGGATGTGGGTTTAATGAGAGCTGCTTCCCAATGGAAATAGATCAAACAATTCTCTTGATCCCATTGTGTGGAGGTGAGGAGCAAGACTGTTAGATATGGAACCACGACGCGGATGGGAACTTTACAATGAAAAAAAGGTTATAGGAGATGACTATAAGACTTCAAACATGCAGAGGGCATTGTGCCAGATGGGAACTTTACCAAGCTGCAAGGCCAAAGTAGTTAAATCTGTAAAGGTGATGGACAAGTCCTTCTCAGAGCAATGAGCGATGCTAATGTGGGCATTATGGAAGGAGCGGAATGCTCGGTTTTTCAATGGGAATAAGTGGTCGGAGAATGAGGGAATAATGCGAGCCAGCTCTATGCTTGACGAATATTAGATGAATCAAGGGTAAGGATGTCAATCCAACCCGTAACCATGGGTTATCCTACCCAAACCTAACCGGTCAACAAGAATAATTACTCGCTTTGACGGGTTAAGGGGCGAGTATGGGCAATACCCGGTTTCAAAATAACGGTAGGGTACGTACACGATAATCACCCATACCCGCCCCGGTTGTACCCGCCCGTAATTATGTATGGTTGTAAGCTAGCAAGTGTGTCTAACCCTAGTAGCACCATTCATATAAATATTTCCAATTCCATTCCTCCAATTTCCATACCCCAAAACCTTTGCTGGCTTCGCTGCTTGTGTGTTGTGAATTGTTGCTTTAATGGATAATATTTACGTGTAATTGTTTCCCATCCCAATTTGTTGAGCTTCTTTGTCAAGTTTTATATTCAGAATTGTTGGCTTTACAAATTGTGAGCACATACTATCAACATTGTCGGAAAAGTGTGAGATGAATTTTCATTAGTATGTGTGTCTAGCTGTTAGAAGTGAACCAACAATTGTCATCGATGTGAAATTTATCAAGGCTTATGTCAATTAGGTGGATCTAATGGTTGATGTACGTGTATAAGTTCATATGGTAATATTATTTTAGAATATAATTATTTACAGCTTGATGATAAATTCATACCCGTGGTTACCCGAATACCCATGGTTACCCGGTGGGTAGGGTATGGTTATATCATTTCAATACCCGGTGGTTATTTTATCAAGTATTTTAGTCGGCCATACTCGGCCGGTTAGGGTATGGTATAGAGTGTACCTGCACCCGACCCTACCCATTGCCATTCCTAATCAAGGGAGAGGTGGGAGAGAGGCCACAATCGAAAATGGGAAAGCCTGAAAACGCCCGCTAGAAGGATGGATAAAAGTGAATTTGGAAAATGGGGTAAAATCGGAATCGTAAAATCGAATTGAAAAATCGTAAGATTTTAAGGTCCATATAAAAACGAATACGCAATAATATTAATAAGGAAAATCATGAATAACAGTATAACACAAAAACAGATAACACTTACAATGATAACTTATCAAGGTTAATATTTCAATTTATTAAAGTTAATGTTGGGAAGTGGCAAATTGATAATGATTAATGCGTTGATGTGAATTAATGATGGTCGATGGTGGTTAGTGTGAGAGAACTAGATGATGTTGGTAGAGAAGAAGGAAAATGCATGATTTTTCGAATTCTGAGAAAATAAGTAAAAGTAACCCAAAGATTTGAATCTTCATATCGTAACATGTCGAGTAGACCTTGTTACTGTGAGAATTCTTAATTCATGAGTTGTAAAATTTTAACGATTTAAATCGTGAATAGTGTAGGATTTTAAGGTCCTTAGATTTTATAATCAAATTAGGATCAAAACAAGTAAGTACAATCGTAAGATTTTAGGATTTCAATCGAAATTTTTGACTGCTTTGGATGCAAGAGTTATTGACAATAGGGGTGTGGGGTTGGGGGCCGTTATTAGAGACCATCGTGAGAGATTTCTTGTGGAAACAACAAAGAAAGTGAAGGGTAGCTTTGAGGTGAAAATGGCGGAGGCCCTAGCGGTCGAATTTGGTGTTCAACTCGCACGACAATTGGGCTTCTCAACACTACTTCTTGAAAGCGATTGTTTGACACTTGTTGAGAAGCTATCGAGGGCAGAGGAGGTGCATACGGGAGATAGGTCTTATAAATAGAAGTGTGATAAGGTACCTGTTAGAGGCATGCTCAGAGGTGAGTTGCATACATCATGTTAAGAGAGAGGCGAACAATGCGACACATATAATAGTCCATAGCAAAATTAGATGGGATTGTCTGAAGTAGGACTGGATAGACTGCCGATTGATCTTATTGACCAGCTAAAGCTGGACGATGTAGTTCTCAGTCTTAATATAATGTAGGAGGTTTCCTATAAAAAAAATGCAATTATCGATTGCAAGTCACATCATCATTTTCTATTATTAAATTAATCATTATTTTATTATTTAAGTGTTTATGTTCTTATAATTATTTGAAAAAATCAAGTGAATTACAAACAACATATACCATTGATCTGCACAAGGTTGTCAACCTGCGGGCTGACTCGGACCCGGTCGAGCTAGTGGGTCAAGGGTTAATGGGTCAGCCGTTTTATCCCGGTTTAGCCTGGGTATAGGGAATTAGTCATTATCAGTGGCGTAGCTAGGATTTTCTATAAGGGGGTGCCAATTGTATTAAATAAATATATTTTATATGAGAAACTATTAATTTTTGCAATGACTCACAATATTTTTCTACTCTAATAAAACTTGTAAATTATATATTTTTCATCTAAACTATCAAAGACCTTAGGGCTAATACCACTAGAAAACCCGAACTATTAACTTTGTGTCATTTGTGTCCTAAAGTATTCGATACGACAATTGTGTCCTAAACTATTTCTCCGTTAGAGTTGACCGGCGTTGACCATTAGTTTTTAACAGAAAATCCAGTAAGCACTGATGTGGAATCTGAAGTGAAATTTATAATATTAATTTATAATTATTTTTCATATAAAAAAATTACAAAATTACAACCCATCTCCATCTCAATTAGTTAATATTGTTTCTGAAAATTAAATTAAAATATAAAATAAGTAAAGGGAAGTGAGGAGCTCTTTCCAGCCATCGTCTCTTCAGCTACTCCCTCTGAAGATCTTCAGCTACTCCCTCTGCTCCTCAGCTTCTCCCCGGCCGATCCTGCTTCCTCCAATTACAAACCCAAATCACAAAATACCAAACATCACAAACATCAAGTTTTGGACCGCGTTCCGTCGCTTCCTCTCCCACACTCGCCATGTCCTTCTGTTCCCAGCTATCGTCGCCGCCTTCAAATCCCTTCCGCCAATCAACATGTATGGCAATGATATCTCGCCGGCGCCTTCCCCACGACAAGCTGCCCTTTCAGAGCGACCTCGCTTCCTCAACCCTCTCCATCCGGAAGCTATCAAGAGATCTTGAATCCGAATCGATGACGTTGAAGGAGAAGGCGGCAATGGCAGTGGAAGGAATCACCGCCGATTTGGACAACGGCTGGGCTATTTCTGTCTATGGCGGTGTGGTGGTGTTGATTGAGGCATGCCGATCGACAAATCTGGCTACGCAACCACTCCCGTCGTTCGTCTTCCCTTGACTCCGAAATCGAAGCTCACCGTCACCGCCAGATTCCCGAAGCTCACAGTCACCATCGTCCACAATCGCTAGCTTTTGTATTGGGGATGAGCGGAGGAGACGCTCATGTCTCAAGGAAAGAGGGACAGAGACGAGAAAATCAAGGAAAGCGAAGCTAGGAGCCACCTCGAGGAAGAAAGACGATGTTTGTAGGTGGCGGCGACATCGACGGCGTAGGAGGAGGCGGAAGCAGCGGTGGCTATGGAGAGAAGGAAGGGAGAGGTAATCGGGGGAGGGGAGGTGAAGAGACGAAGGAAAATGTTTGACAGGGTTAATTGAGTTTACATTTTTTTAATTTTTATAAGAATATATTATTTATTATTTAATTTTTAATTAAAAATATGAGGTGTCATTGACGTGGCATCTACGTGGCTGCCACATCAACAAAAGTCAATGTTAATGTTGACTTCCGTTTGGTCAACCGTTATCTATAACGGTCAACGAAATCGTCAGGACATAAATGGCACACAATTATCATACGTTGTGACATAAATGTCATATAGAATACTTTAGGACACAAATGACACAAAGTTAATAGTTCGGGTTTTCCGGTGGTATTAGCCCAAGACCTTATTATCAATATATCCTATCCACTAGTGCTTCATAATTTTGTAAATAATTCCAATCCATGATGGGTTACGGTGAAGACTTTCTAGTGCTCATGGATAGCCGATAAAAGTCGGTTGAATGGAAAGGTAGAGTCGAGCGACTTAGCGACCATGTTTGAGAGGAAAAGTTATGATTGTAATTGAAAAGAGAAACATAATTAAATACTATCACAATAAGTTCACCTAGTGATATTGTGACGATAAGATTGTGGTTCCATGTACAAAGCTTCATTATAAACAATCTAATATACTTTTTTAATTTTGTTCTTCTAAGGCAAGGGTGTGCCAATGCACACCCTCCTAACAAGTTGCCTCCGCCCCTGGTCATTATATTGTACTTATCCTGATAAATTATATCAAATCTCTTCTAACATATGAGTTATAGCAATTAATATTACACCAAAATAACATGTCGTACTTAGATCCAACATATAGTAAAAATTCACACACACTTATATAATATCAATATTCAAATGTTTAATTTAGTATTCAAAAGATTGAGTTAGGCGAAAAGAAAAATTGGAAAATAGGCTTATTTCGCAAACCAAATAAAAAATGACACAATTTAACCTCCAACCCGATACTTAGTAGCGATTGATTCAACGTGTGTGCGGCCCGTTTTTCTCGCGGGGTTAGGGTCAACACGGTTGACCCGTGGATTGAAAACCTCTGCAGTCTAGTCACCAGATCTGCTCCGAAAATGTTTCAAGGAAGACGGGGGCACATGAATATAGTCTGTTTCCAACCCGTATAAAAGGTTCCAGAACACATTTACTGTTGGCCGTCGTCAGCGGTGGCGGAGAGGGTCTTTGTCATCGGCTAGGCTGTTTTCCTTCCCATTGACTCTTCGATGGCTACGAAGCGCTCCGAACTCCTCCAGCGTTACGGTGAATATTTCAGTTGTCTCATTCTTTCCCTCGTTAATTCTGTGCCAGAGGGCTTGAATTGAAGCTTTTCCTCGCAGGCTATGACTTACTGTTAGGATCAATTGCTGCGTTTTACGTGCTTATGGCGCCGTACACCAAGGTCGAAGAGAGCTTCAACATTCAGGTGCGCCTACCCAATCTCTACTCTGCCCCAAGTTGAAGAAAGCTCCATGGCTTCTTTTCTTTCATTATAATTGTGCTTCTGCTGCTCACTACTTCACATTCTTATGATTGTGTAGGCGATGCATGACATTCTTTTCCATCGCCACCACTTGGATAACGTAAGTTGTGGTGTTAATGTTGTGGATCATCTTGTTCCAGAATCACTTGGGAATTTGATTTAGAGATGCTTTTTTTTTTCCAACTTTCATTTGCAGTATGATCACTTGGAGTTCCCTGGAGTTGTTCCTCGTACCTTCATCGGTAGCCTTTCTGTTTGAAGGCTTTCCACTACGAACAGTAGCAGGCGCTATTCGTTATCGATCCCTGATTATGCTTTTTCCCCACTCATTTAGGAGCATTTCTGATTTCAACTTTAGCATCTCCCTTAGTATTTGCCATGCGCTTGCTGCAGTTTCCAAAACTATATGCACTCATAGCAGGTTAGTATTTCCGATTCATTATCGTCAGTTATACATAAAACGAGGAGCAAGAAAATGAATATGGTATTTTGATCCATACCGTTGTGGTCTGGACTGGGGAGGCTTATCTATCAGCTCTTTCTCACTGTTGTTACTAGTTCGCTTGGCATTGGGTTCTGTCACTCTTGGAACTTTCAGGTTCTTCCGTATTCAGGTAAATATTTCAGTTTTGATTCTTGGGGTTTATTCCATTATGGAAATCTTTCTTTGAACTATTGCATTCATGTACTGCTTACAGTGTTTATGATGTTGACTACATGCTTGTGGAGCAGGTTAGGCAGAAGTTTGGTCATCAAGTGGAGGGATTTTTGGTGGTAGTAACTGCATTTCAGTTTCACTTGCTGTTCTATTCCACCCGTGGTCTTCCCAATATATTGGCTTTGGGTGGAGGTGATTGTCTTTTTAATTCAACTTTCCCCCCAATTCCTGCTTTATCAAATTGCTACCTGTGCAAATATGATGTCTTTTCTATAACAACTCTAGCCTAGTCTGTAATGAGCTTCAGGCTCTTTGCACATTAAGCAATTCAAAAGAAGTTCATACATGGATCCTTTCTTTGATTCTGGTGTGGATCACACATGGATTCTTGATATTTAGATGTTGCAAATTGTATGCATTATCCTATTGACTATAAGAGGCTGATATGTTGGCTGCAAACTGCTTCAAATTCTCACAGGAGTAACCCTTGTCACAATCTATAGGAGGCAATCACCATATATGTTAAGTTAGCAGCTTACTCGTCAGTGTGTAATATCCTATGTTTCAAACTAACTTGTTTACTCATCAACTGGCTGCAGTCAACTTGGCTTATGGGTACTGGCTCAAGCAGAAATATTATGTCTCCCTGAATTGTCTGGTATTGTTCTCTATATGTTATTTTAGTGGTGCCTCTCTGCAACCATAGTTGTCATGGTGCAGACAATTGCATAATGTTCCTCTATCGTTACTGAATCTTGACAGCCATAATTTGGTATATTCTTGGCATAGATCATTCTGTTAGCACTTATAAGGATAAGTTGTAACTGGTTAAACTAGGTCGTACTTTATCTTTGTACATTTCTGATTCCTCTCACAGCTTTTTTATTTTTATTTTGTGGATTCACCAGATCTTCGTTGCTATAGTCTTCAGATGTGACATGCTATTGCTTATTGGCCCTCTTGGCTTGCAGCTTTTGTTGGTACTGCGTTGTTATAAATTTATGGTTAATTTGATATTTATTAATTGGCTATCCATGATAACTATAGATCTTTTTCTTAAAATCTTCAGACCAGATCTGTTTCAGTTTTTGGCTGGGATTAAATACTGCCTCGGCTTTGCGCTACTATCGATTGGTTTGTCAAAACTTCTGCTGGCAATAATAAATCCCATTAGAATAAGGTAGTTACTTATGAGTTATGATGGATCTAAACTAGTCTTCCATATTTGTTGCTTCTCCATGCAGGTCTTACCATGTCCATTGACTCCATTATGTGGAAAAGACTATTGTGGCCAGAATTTGAAGTATTCTGGTTCAACTCTGTTCTTAACCGAAGCTCTGAATGGGGTGTATCCTTCATGGACAGAAATTTTATGTTTCATTTTTAGGTAGTTCATTGTAAAAATTATAATGCGCTCAAACTGATCAAGCAAATCGTAAAGATTTAACTCATTTAAGGATCTATCTACGCTAGTGCTGTTAGGTCTCGTAACTCTGGGCATTTTAGGACTTTAAAATCTTGAGTATCTCTTTGGTGAATAATAGACGCCATTTGACTTCATCATCGAACTGGTTTGGATTGGGATTGGCATTATTTTTTATCCAGGCTGATGGAAGCTTGCTCCTTAGACTTAGGAGACAGAGTAATGATTGTTTGTCTACAGCTGCAATGCTACTTTCATCTGCTGATTGATGTTACTCTTGGCTGTCTTCCTTACTTTTATCTATGCCTCGTAGTCGGTTTTCTCAATCTTACTATTTAGTCACTAGTGACAAGATGAGGGTTAAGGTGATGTTGGAATTGTTGCTGCACATATGCTATTTCTTGAGACTGCTCTCTGTGTTCCTCCTTTGACTTTGTTTCTAATAGACACATTCCTTCCATTGGTACTTCACTTCAGCTCTCCCACGTTCTCTACTTGCTGCATATCCTCTTTTCATGGTGTGCCTTTCACATTTAACTTAAATATCAGCAAGTCAGGCTTCATTTCGGTTACTCCAGTGGTACACTTTTGACTTTGAAGAGATTGTACTTTGTTACTGTTTTCTGCAGCTTGGTGTTGTCCTAGATCGAAGAGTTCGGTACTTTGTTCTTCCGGTTGTCTTGTTCATTTTGCTTTACTCTAAGCTTCCACACAAGGTATGTCATGCAGCTTCCTTCACGCAACCATGTTTGAAATCTATGCATGATCGTATTTTTTATTATCCTTTTGGATGATTGCAGGAACTGCGATTTATAATTAGTTCTGTTCCAATGTTCAATCTCTCTGCTGCTGTTGCAGCAAGCAGAATGTATGCTTCTTATTCTTCCCATAAGTCAATATATACTTTTGACCTTTTTTTAAGCTGCGATTTCACTTCCTTGATCGGTTGCCCTAATTTGCAGCTATAACAATAGGAAGAAGACATTATGGAAGTTGTATAATTTTATCTTGTTGGGACTACTCTTGATCAGGTTTAGACCCATTCTTTTGGAGATTTGAATAATCTCCATCCTTTATTACTTACTTGTTGTAGTCTGTAGTGTAGGGTGCACTGCAGTGTCTTTCATGGCATCTTATGAAAATTATCCCAGTGGTCATGCATTAAAAGAGTTGCACCAGAATGTTGGTGAGTCTCTTGCTCTTTGATGCACGTGCAGATATGGCAGTAGTAATGTCTGTTCAGTTGCTATTTGGTGCTTTACTGATTTTGATTTTGATTCCTAATCACTATCTGTATAAATTCCAGGCGATGTTTCTGATAATAGGCCAAATATTGGTTCATATCGATACCTTTTCAGCCATGAATGGAATATCACGCTTTTGTGAAAATGGTTCACCCATGGAGGTATTCTCAATGTCCACTGTAATTTCATATGCTAACCACTATCTGCCTTTTACATGCTATTTTATTCCGTTTTATTGGTTCGTTTGATGTGACTATTAGTAATCAACGTAGGTACTCTAAAGAAGAGAGCATTCCTCTTAAAGAATACAAGCAGAGAAATTTTACATATCTTGTAAGGTAATTTTTTGTTTTCCTCATTGAGCTTGCCTATTCTGGAATATGAATGATATGGTGGTGTTTTCTGACTCCCCTTTATAATGCTTGATGATTCCAACACTGAGACAGTCACAAATCTCCATCCAGGACTTCGAGCCATTGTAAACATTTATGTGATAACCTCACTTCAACATCTGATTTTCTTTGCTTAATTTGTTGGTAATACAGTGAGCATTCAAGTGTTGATGGATATGAGTGTTTATTTTCTGTGAATGGCTTCTCGAGGATTCTTCTTCAACATGGCTTCCCTCCTGTTGCCCTGGTAAAGAAAATTGAAGATTCTACCAAATTTCTATTTTCAAGATTCTCCCCTTATTACTAAAAAGCTTGTGGCTGATTACTGACATTGATCAGGTGAAAAAGCCAAAGGTCTACGTTCATGGGGATGGAAAAGTCATGGATATAAAATGGCGGGGCTGCTCTTGAGTGTTCAAGAAAGATGGAGTGTCAAGTCCTTTCTGTAATGCCCTGGTGGAGGATTGGATCTTTCCGACGATTAAGAACAGAGAAATAGACGGGACTGAGGAAGAAGTGAGGTGAACTTGAGAAGAAGAATTAGAGAATCAGAAAATAGAGGAAGAATAGAAAACGATTGAGAAGAGAACAGAACTAGCAGAGGAAGAAGGAGACACAGAGGAGAGGATAATTGGAAAAATGTACTCTTCTTGGTTGTTCCTTTATGTTACAGCAGGTCCCTTTTTATAAAGCTTCGTCAATTACAAAATAATCCCGGATGAATACCCAATTTACATATAAGTCCCGATCATTACAACTCCCAACCCCTTGAGACCAGACTTGTCCTCGAGTCTATAACAGAACAACAACCAACAACATAAGAAATGATAAGAAAACGAACATGTGGTACGAAGTTAGAGCTGCTCCTCATAAGTCAAAAGTTGCTGCAGTATATGATGCTGAGATGGTCTTGCACTTCTAAAACCAGCAGTGCACATATTTCCTCATGTTTTGCAGCCATCAGTACGAAAGCAACACCAGGCAATTGCAATCTTTGCCCATTAATCACATTGTCTGCCACAAAGTAGGTACTCTTCTGCAATGGCCTCATAAACTTCACCGGCCCTCGTCACAACTCCCTGATAGCCCTTGAACACCCAATTTTGCTGAAAATTACCAACAAACAGCCTTCCAATAGTGTTGTCCCCAAAATTCTCCTTGAACGGTTCCTTAAAGTTTGTACAATTACCCCTTCCATGAGATTCCTCTAAGAAACCACCTGTAAGGCTGTAACCGACCAGTTTCCTTCATACTCATAGCCAACCATTTGTGACTTTTCATTCCAAGCACCATGCGCCCCTGAAGAAGGCAGCTCGTCAATACTATCAAGGACCATGCTATCAACATTCCCGAGCACAGAAACAATGACTGGAATTCTAATATGAGAATCATAATGAGGAACTACTCCTTGGACCAGCAACACCAAACTTCCAGCAATCTCGGAATGCAAAGTAACATCCATGTGCACATCTTTATCAAGAACAAATTTAAAAAAATCCATGTGCACATCTTTATCAAGGGCAAATGCAAATCCAAAGCCGTATTATTATTACTTGCTTATTTTATTAAATTTAAAAAAATTTAATAAATTATTAATATGATAAATTATATAGACAAAATAAGTGCAATGATGAGGTGGAAAGAAAATTTTTTTTTTTAATTTCCACGTCATCTAGTTAACGGTCAAACTTTATAGTTGACTGCCACGTAGGACAAACTTAACGGAGTGTAACGGCCGGTGACCAACCGTGAAACGATTCGTAAAGTTAGTGGCGAATAAGAAAGAAAAGTAATTCGGGTGGCAAACGTGAAAGATTTGTATAATTTGAGTGACCAAACGTGTAATTTAGCCCTTTCTTATAAAAGCTGGCTACGCTTTTTGCTCCCTCTTCTTTGTTACTGTTTCATTCCTTGTCTTTTAGCGACAATTGGTGAAATGGTTTTATGGAGGAGCCTTCCCAATCCCTTACTCGAACAGTCAGCCTCTTACCTTACTTTCCCTCAGTCCAGCAGCCGCTCATACCTCCTCTTACCGTCAGTACTCACATAACTTCAACTGCTCCCTCTGCTGCAGAACATCAACTACCCTTCACCTTTCCTCTTTTTCCGCCAACCACCTCTCCCTCATAAATCCTTCTACTCCCACACTCTATCCTCTCCTGTTACATCACTGCTCATTTTCTTCCACTAAATCATACCTCCATCCCTCTACCATTAGTCTTTTCTCCGTCTCCTTCTTTCCAATTATCTAACCTACCATCCTCTAACTCTCATCCATATCTCAAACCTTTCGGTTCTTCCTCTCTCTTGAACTCCCGTCGCTGGGCAAAATCAGAGGCAGCGATGGTGATAATCCTCCACAGGCACCAGGGAGGACCAGCTGCGAGAATCATTGGTTTTTTCATGGGTGATCGACGAAATTTTGATTTTTTCAGCTGTAGCAAAAAAGAGCAATATATATATATATATAGCACCGCTGGAGTTTTCAATGTTTGGTGGTTGTCTAATGTCCTCTCCTTTCGTGTTTGGATCTCAGTTGATTTATCAAGATAGGAAAATCGTGGGTGAAGATTTCTGTGTTTTGATTCCTTTTTCTGGTTTCTGTTTCTTTGTAGCTCCTCTGCTGGGTTCGTTGAAAATCCTTAAAAGAAGAAGATGAGTTGAGAGCAGGATGACAGAACAAACTTCCCAACAGCGGAGCCGAAGCTATTCGTCAGCGGCTGCTGTTTTTTGGCTCGGCATCCAACATCAACCTCTGCTCCAAGTGGTACATGGAAATATGGGTCTCCGAGGAACAGGCGGTGTCCGCAAGGCCGCCATGGGAAAACCCTAGGCTTTAAATAAGAGAAACCCATGTTGGAAGCTGAATCAATCGCCGCCGACATTAAATCTGCAAGGCTGGCGGCGGAGCAGTTGGTTGCATTTGATAGATAATTGCCAACGGCTGCGGTGTCATGTCGTCGGATGCGGCAGCAGCGAAGGCGGGCAAGGCGGCAAACAGGTGCTTGACCTGCAATGCGAGGGTCTGGTTGACGGGGTTCAAGTGCAAATGCGGCAGCTCTTTCTGCGGATTGACCAGAGAATATCGATTGTGACTACGATTTCAAGGAAGCTGGGAAGAATACAATTGCCCACGCCAATCCGGTCATCAAGGCTGATAAGGTCGAGAGGCTCTGCGAGATGATGAAATGGAATGATGGGTTCTCATAAATTCGGTACTTCTCGACGAACCATTTTTTATAATCTTTTCTTATAAACTCTTTTCAGTTTGCTTCTGTCTTCTTCAAACTCAGTAATCAGCAGTGGTGGGTAGTTTGATGCATCTACTATAGAGAAAGAAGCAGGTTTGCCACTGTAACGCAAGTTCAAACCTTCTACTATAGTGGCAAACAAGTTTGTGCACAGCTGCCTCCTTACTTAGGTCTTGAAAGCTTTGGAAGTAATAAAGAATCAAAGGCTCCATTTCTTCCCGAGCGAAAGGAGCTACAGGAGGGTCAAACAAGTTTGTCGTGTGCTACTACATGGTGGGATTCCCGCTGACAGCTGTGCTTGCTTTCAGGTCCGAGCTTTGTAAATGGGTTATGGTGAGGGATAGTGGCTGACTATGTGCTGTAGATGGCCTTCCTCTTATTGCAGCATAGAAACATATGAGTGCTATATTTCTAATGACTTTGTTTTGCTTTCAGTACTCTGCTGAGAAGCAAATTGGTAGGGCAAGAAGAGTTCTTAAAGCTTTTGAAGATGGGTAGGTGAGTAGAAGTTGTTGGCTCTTACATTACCTATATTGAGATATTATGCTTGCCATGGCTAAGTTTCACGTACTTCCGTTTCTCCTACATTCTTTTGTAGTATCAAATTGTCGGGACCTGTATTATAAGCATGCTTTTAGTGCTCTGCTAAATTGAAGAAACTTGATTCTCATACACATCATTACCAGTTCCAGTCCATTCCACATCTCTTTGGAACTCTTCACGTAGGTGTTGTTTATTCTAATATTGTACTTACTTTAAGCAGCAGCCTTCCATTTTCTTATTTGATTGCATGATCCTAATGGTAAGGCACTGTGAGTTTCTGTTACATACCCGAGAATTCAAAACTGATGCTAACTGGATTCTTATACTTGCAATCTTGCCTTTGGATTTGATCATAAATTATTGCAGTGCTCATATTACCAGTAAACACAATTGTTTGAACATTACATATAGTTCTCAAGAACTTGCTCGGTCGCTTTGTTTTATCGAGAGACGCTTTAATAATTAAATTAGCCACGTATTCCATTCTTTTCAGAGTATTTCAAACCAAAGCAAAGAGTCTGTGCTTATAGTTAGACCATAAAACTTGAAATGGATCTTCGAATTAGATCATATATCAAGCAATTTCTTAAATTATTTGCAAGCGGTTAAGGTTTATTGCTTGATCTCTTTGCCATCTGTTGACAGGTGTTTGACTCAAGGAGCCTGCAAATATCTGTCAAGTAATTTCTTCTCTTAGGCAGTGCTTCTCTTTTACTTTTGAAGTCACTACGTTATATCTCTTTTGCTTCGGTGTTCCTCTTGCTTCTACATTCTTATAATTACTCAGTACATGCATCACTAAGAACCTTGCTCATTCTGCTTAGTCGTTTTTATGAACACCGGCTCCAATTTTTAGGTTTTCTAGATTCGACCTACAAACTGGACAAGCAAGTAGAGGATCGAAAGGAATGGCCATATCATAAAGCGATGCAAGCTGCTACAAATCTCATGACCATTGAATTGGTTTCGGTTTTGTGTTAATTCTGCGTAACTGCACAACACTGGTTGCCAACCTCCTACTTTCCAAAATCAATAGCCAGGTTAGGATGCTTGACCTGCTTGCTAAATATTTTGGTTATGTATGTTATCCATCGAACAAGGCTTTCACATGATCTAGGATGGCAATAGGTCTAATTTCATGCTTATTGATGTTGTGCAGCATCTAAAGTAGAATGGTTGTTCAATACCTTTTTATGTAAACTTCAAACAGCAACCTCTGATAATAATACTGCAATTACAGCTTGGTTTGCTCCCAATGTGCATGCATTGATGTTCCTTTGTGGGTATATGTATCCCCAAAAGGGAATTTGTCGTGTATTCTTGGTTTTACAGCTAATGTAACTCATTTGTTTGAATTGTATGAACCGTAGTCAGAAAGGAAGGATAGATCTTGCCTTGCCTGTAACTTGACATGGTAGTGAATGGAGTTGAAGTGAGGATCAAAGAGGGAAGGCGTGAACCTTTGGAGTTTGGAGGTATAAAGTGTGTCGGATTCAAAGTATAACAAAGATGGAGGAGGATTTAGCGGGTTAAAGCGATAATATACATAGAAACAGGTGGAACTGAGAGGGCTTGATCCTGTCGCTGCAACTGCTGCTGTTGGGCTTGCTCTTGCCATGAATGAGTGCAACTGAGAGGGAGCCAGGGAGGAGTATATTAGCTTTGTTGATGTTGGACTAACGTCTAACGGAATCGGTACTGTTAAGAATTAAGACAATTTGTGGGTTAGTCTCACCGAAGTAACCTGAGATTTATGATATTTTAGTTAGTTTGACTTATCGGCTAAAAAATCGTGTTATTTTATGGACTTTGAAGAAAAGAGCACAGTAACTTTAGCTTTCTGCGTTAAAAATTGAATTATATAGACGACTAACAATTTTTTTTTTAATCATGTTGACGATTGGGAGTGCAATTTTTATTTGTTTACTTCCACTATTGTAACATATTTTTAAATAGAAGAGTACTTTAGTGACTTTCTCCGACATATTTTTAAGATTACTTTAGTTTTGTTGGTATGGATTGATGATGACATTTTTTTTAGGCTAAATTACACGTTTGGTCACTCAAATTATACAAATCTTTCACGTTTGCCACCCGAATTACTTTTCTTTCTTATTCGCCACTAACTTTACGAATCGTTTCACGGTTGGTCACCGGTCGTTACACTCCGTTAAGTTTGTCCTACGTGGCAGTCAACTATAAAGTTTGACCGTTAACTAGATGACGTGGAAATTAAAAAAAAAAATTCTTTCCACCTCATCATTGCACTTATTTTGTCTATATAATTTATCATATTAATAATTTATTAAATTTTTTTAAATTTAATAAAATAAGCAAGTAATAATAATACGGCTTTGGATTTGCATTTGCCCTTCCCTTTGGATTACTGCTCTTCCCCTTACATCACCGCTCCTTCCAGCCCTCAGCGTTTCGGCACCAACTTCTTCTTCAGCGCCCCCACCAGCCCCAACGCCAAATCCTTCCTCCGCGACATCGACGATTCCATGGCCCTCTCCCTCGTCGCCGCCGCCGCGGCCGCCGACTCCTCCTCCTCCGCCGTTCCGTTCAAGTGGGAAGAAAAGCCCGGGACACCCAAGCGAGCCAGTATCCGAGCTAAGAGCACCGAATTTTTTGACGACGATTACGATTTTGAATTCGATTTCAGCGGTCAATTGGCCAGGAGCTCGTTATCCGCCGCCGACGAGCTCTTCGACGGCGGTAAGATCCGGCCGTTGAAACCCCCACCCGGGTACGATTCGGGAGTCGCATCCTCCGCCAATTCTCCTCGGTCCCCGAGATCGCCGCGATCAGCGAAAAACAGAGATGTCGATCCTTTTCAGGCAGCGATTGAGGAGACTCGGAAGCGAGATGCCAAGGCAGGGCTGGACCAACGGGCAAATGCAAAATGCAAATAAACCAAATAAACCATACATCTGTTGAAAGGGAAGGGCAAATGCAAATCCAAAGCCGTATTATTATTACTTGCTTATTTTTATTAATATGATAAATTATATAGACAAAATAAGTGCAATGATGAGGTGGAAAGAATTTTTTTTTTTTAATTTCCACGTCATCTAGTTAACGGTCAAACTTTATAGTTGACTGCCACGTAGGACAAACTTAACGGAGTGTAACGGCCGGTGACCAACCGTGAAACGATTCGTAAAGTTAGTGGCGAATAAGAAAGAAAAGTAATTCGGGTGGCAAACGTGAAAGATTTGTATAATTTGAGTGACCAAACGTGTAATTTAGCCTTTTTTTTTATAAAAACATTGTTCAAATTTTATCAAAAGATAATGTGAGTATGGATTGATTTGATGTATAAAGTAAGGAGTCTCATCTGTAAACAAGTATTTCCTCATGGTAGGTTTGATATAGAACTTACAAGCTAACGAAGAGTTTATACGAGCATTGTAGCAACTCTTTTTGACTTCTTGCATGACAATACTCTATTGAACAAAAAAAAATTAGACTATTTTCATTATGAATCAACTTTTAAAGCTGCCAAATACGGCTAAATGACCCTGCGGCGTAGCCGCGGGTATTGGTTCTAGTATATATATAAAAGTTAGCTACACTTTTTTCCTAAAGTTACAATTTCAATTTTTGTCTTTTAGTGAAAATGAAAAAACTTGTCATCTTACCCCATCCCTCACACACTCAAATATATTAAAAAAAATCTTTATCATTTGGTCAAAGATATTGTATGTATAACAAAGGGGAAGATTGAATCGTTAAGAGGTTTAAACGGTTCAATTTGATTTCAAGAAAATGAAACCCGAGGCTTAAGCGGTTCAATTTGATTTCAAGAAAATGAAACCCAAGGCTTAATTGAATATTGAGTGTTTGTGTATTGGTTGTGATTTTATTTTTATTGTTTTTAGCTTTTTCAGTTTGACCAAACAAAAAACGCTAAGCACAAAAGGTTTGGGACCAAAACTAAAAAACGATAAGATCACCTTATTTGTTAGTTTAGTTGAAATTCAAGAAATTGAATCCGAACTGATAGTCCTATGTATGGCACACTTTGCCATCTTTCATTTTGGTCTTCAGATTATCCAGAATCTTAATTAATTGATTTTTTCATTGTTGCTATGAGGGAAGTAAACATTGTTGATGAATTCATTTTCTTTTTATTACAAATTAGGTCAGGTGTCAACTACTCTCGGGAAAACTCTTTGTGTGGTTGGGTTAAGCCATTGAAAATCAGTAATCGCAAATAGGATACCACAGACAGAGGATATATTCAAGTTCTTTAGGTTTGATAAAAATGTAGTAAAGAATTAAAACTAGGTGCAAAGAACCAACCAGACTGCCCTAGTGGATAAATCAGGAATACAGAAAGAAAAACGGCGATTGGACCAGAGAATGCGATTGCATTATAAGGTCGCAATTGAACAGATCGAGCAAGCTCAAATTGACGTAACATGAAACCTATTAGTCCGAAAGCACCATGCAGAGCAACAAAAGTCCACAGACCGCCTAATTGACACCAACGGGTAAAATCTCCTTGTGCTTCAGGACCCCATAGTAACAATAAAGAATGTGCTAAACTATTAGCAGGAGTAGAAACTGCCGCCGTTAAGAAATTACAGCCTTCCAAATAGGAACTAGCCAATCCATGAGTATACCATGAAGTTACAAAGGTTGTACCTGTGAACCAACCCCCTAAAGCGAAATAAGCCCATCCCTCACATACACTCAAATATATTAAAAGAAAAAGTCTTTATTATTTGATCAAAGTTGTTGTATGTATGACTAGGATGGGAAATTGATTTGTGAAACTAAATCGAATCGAATATAAAAACCAAAAAATTTGAACAAGTAATATCCTTAAAAATGAACTATTAAGAGGCTTAAACAGTTCAATTTGATTTCAAGAAAATGAAACCTGAATGAATTTAATAATGAGGAAAATTCATATGCTAATATATGTTGCTCACTATGCACATCTTACTTTCTTTTTCCGATTTACAACGTGGTCTTATTAGTGGTTGTTGGTCATGAAACTTAGTGCTTTATATTGCTTTGGATTTGGTCAATTTGTTCCTCTGTTCAATTGTTAAGTTTTGCTACATATATAAGTGATTGCTACAATTCTATCATTTTGCTTCCATCTTTACTTGATCGGATTTGTGTATCCAACGAGTTAACTGGTTGATAGAACTTGGATCCAACAAATTATATTATGAATGTTCTTTATTTTATCTTAATAAATTGGACTTGCAAGAGACAAAGATTAGTGGTGTCTTAAGTTGTATGGACAATGAGAAAAAATAATTTTTTTTGTTAGTGAATTAGAGGTGAGGTGTTGTACATGTTAGGCTTATGAATAATAATCATATGTATGCGTTCACTTTTAGTGTTGAATTCGCTTATCATATGGATATGCAATCGCTCTATGTAGTAGTTAATTCATTGTATGTTTCATGATCCAAGTCAAAGTTGTGCTCGATCGATAACCTTCTAACTCTCTTCCTCACTCACAACAAGTTGAATGTTATTATTCAATGATTTTTTTTTTGAAATTTCACCTGTTTTCTTCAAGAGTTTTTATTATGAGTCCTGATGGTTAGGCGTAACTTTCCTATTTATGCATTGTTCACTCAATATATGTTCATTCACCCATTTTACCAATGAATGGTAACTAAGTATTGTTGGAAATCATCACGGACTACAAAAATGGTTAATAATATAATAGATGTCGAAAGACGTATGAGATATTAACAACTGCTTCACTCCCCATTTAGCGAGAAAGACCAACTAGATAACAAGAAAATATAATTTTTTTGTTCCCAGTTTGTTTGGACCTACCAAGGTTCTAATAAAGCATGATGATTGTTTCTTACACTTATGTCATGTAAATGTAGAATAAGCTTTTTATCAATTTTTAATTTGTTTTATGTTGTTTGACATCTATTGTGTACTTCATTGTTTTTCTTTCCTTCGTTAGTTTTAAGGAAAGGAGACCAATAAAATGAACTATGATTAGGGGTCTACATGAATCGGGGTGAGTTAGTTTTTAACCCTCTCAACCATGCAACTCATATGCCTTAGGTCAAGTGATGCACTACCCAAATCGAATTATATGACACATAAATCCATGTGTTTCAGGTGATGCGCCGGTTGAATTGGATTGATACTAGACATGTCTATACATTAACCAAATAGGGTTGAACCTCGGTTCATTTTATGTTAATCAAACCAAATTGGTTGGTTATCCAAAACCGAATTGCTTTTATTTTAGCAATTATAATTGTTGTTGTTGCGATTACTAGAGAACCGAATATTATGATTTTTGGTTATGTTGCGGTTAACTGCGTTCAACCAATTAACCTATTTTGTCATTCTTTTTGGTTTAGGTTACCTAATGGGGTAGGCCATTTGGCTTTGGGGTAGTTTAATTTTGCGATTATATGGGAATTTTGTTTTGCAGTTTGGTGTGCAGTTACACCAAACACCAAAGATTATCTAAAACCAAATCTGCAACTATTCTATTCCTTCATTTTATTGTTCTCGATTAACTATTTATCGTAAAATTCGAATCAGACTTCGGTTAACTTGCATGACCATAACCAAATTTTCTACCCTATAACCAAATACTCCCTGCGGCGTAGCCGCGGGTATTGATTCTAGTGAAGACTAATAGTTCTATCAGAGTGGGCAAACATTGCTCCTGAGCCAATTTTGAGGTGATTCCAGTGCAGAACTTTGGACTTGCGTGGCGGGACAGGTTACGGTGATTACTACAAAGTAGTAATCACTGTGGTTACTAAGGGTAAATTGGGTATGGAAAAATAAATTATATTAATTAATTTTTTAATAAATTACATTTAAGGTAGTTACAAAAATCTATTAATTAAAAATCTCTCTTTCTCTCACTTCCGTAATCTCCAGCCAGATTTCCTTTCCATATTTTTTTCAATCTTTCTGCAAAAAAAAAAAAAAATACGAAATCAGTACCAATCCATTAGACAAACACTACCACTTTGAAAAATATCAATACCATTGCAGAAATAAATCTATACCATTACACGAAAACTACCATTGCAGAATTAAATTTATACCATTACACGAAAACTACCATTCAAGAAATAAAAACACTACCATTTCACAAAACATCAATACCATTCAAGAAATAAAAACACTACCATTTCACAAAACATCAATACCATTGCAGATTTAATCACTACCAATGCAACAAAATCAATACCAATGTAACAAAATCAATACCAATGCGACAAAAATAATACCAATGCGACATAAACTATACCAATACGACAGTAACACTACCACTACGAAAAAAATGACTACCATTTAAAATAAATCACTACTAAAAAAATGACTACCATTTAAAAAAAAAACATACCATTCCAATGGAATTCCTCCTTCCAATTGCAGAGACCAACTAAGCAAATTAGTAACAGGAAATCTCAGTCCTTGAACGACTTGAGCATGAGGCAGAGAAGGGAAAGCAAAACATTCATTAGAAGGAAAGGTTAGAAACTTACGAATCAAGAAACAGGCCAGCATCACTCAGACACTTCACTTTGGTTGTCCTGGGGAATGGCTAGTGGAGACGCGATTGAGATGGGATGGTGAGGGGAATGGCTAGTGGGTGAGGTGGAGGGATGGAGGGGGGACTGCCGGGTGGGGACGTGGGGTGGTGAGGGGATGGGAGGGGTGGAGGGATGGAGTGGGGGAGGGTGCCGCCGGTGGGGTGGGTGGTGAGGAGAGGGGCAGGGAGGGACAGCGGCACCGCCGAGAAGAATAGATGGTGGGAGGCGGTGGGTTGGGTGGGAGGAGGGTAGAATTAGGGTTTGTGTATATATAGAATAATCCAGTGTGGTTTATTTTTTGTTTTCAAAATTATCCTTGAGCAATCATAATCGTGAGATTATAAAAATAGGAAAAAGATAAAAATGGATGGTGGATATTGATGTAGTCAAGGTGGCTACTAGAAATTTAGTAACCAAGCTAACTCATCCCCTTGCTTGGCACTTGTCTCACCATTCTCAACAACTACGTCGGTAGAAGGGAAAGAATCAACACTCTCATTGACGTCATTAGCTACTGTAGTGCTCAAACTCAAATCATCCCTAAGCAGCCATAGATTTTCAAGACCCCTACACAAGCTGTGTACAAACTCCGGCCATACCCACACTGAGCGACCATAAGCCCAACTTTCGAACCACACACCTGGTCTATGACCGAAATTGACTATCTTGACCTTTTGATCGTTGGGAATCTTGTAGAGGATAAAAAATTCCTCACAAAGCTTAGCCCAGCCTTCTGGGTTGTCGCCGAATAAGATGAGAACTTCATATTCAGGTAGGAGTAATGGATTGGTACCTGAAAGTGGAGGTGGATTAGAGGCCTCCAAGTCGACATTTCGTCGAACAAATGATGAGAGGAACCTTCGAACACAGTGGCGCTCAACAACCGGAGGTGAAACTGGGTCTCGAACACAAGTGATCCCAACAGATGGTGGAGGCGAAAGGATAGACTCGCATTGGAAGTGCCAATGTTGTGGAAACCGTCGCGCTCTCCCAACGGTGGAAGTTGCTGCCTATTTTGTAGAAGACGCACCATCTCGTCGAATTGCCCATTCAGCATACGAAATTGCGCGTCCAAGTTGTCAAAGAGATACTCCATTGATCTGGACTAAGTCAGAATCATTGCCAATTGTTGGGAATCATAATTTGTTTTTCTGGCCAGAAAATCTAGATGAACAGAATTGAATATTGCATCTTTTTGACTTTCAAACAAACGATAAACAAACAGGGTGTTCGATGTTCTTGATGATCTACGAGGCAAACTAAATTACATTAACTCTACTCCTATGAAGGTGCAGTGAGAGCTCCCGAACTACAACTATGTCTAAATTTGCAGAGGAAAAGATAAAATGATAAAAGTTAACATTGTATTGTCTGGTGTGATTTTGGCGACCCCTCCCTCTGTTGTCTTCACCTCCTATTTATAGCCAAAACAAGTAACTGCTTTCAAAAAACCGCTCTGCTGATGTGGAGTGACGGTTACTCTCTTCAACTGTTTCACTGATGCTCTGATGACGGTAGTGCCCTCCTCTTGAAACTTCACTCCCTACTCTTGGTATCTTCTCCGTAGCTTTGCTTGTCTACAGAGAAAAATGGTTAAGGCGTGAAAGGGCGACTCATTGTCACTTAACTCCCTCTTGTACGATCACCTAATGTGGGCGTACGTTTGTGACCCCCTGACCACCTCATGGGGGTGTAAGTTGATCACCACCCCCTGATCACCTCATGGGGGTGTTCCTTGCCTTGGCCAAATTCGGCCAACCATCTCGAGACTTAGCCAAATTTCACCCAAGATGCTCACCCCCTGACTACCTCATGGGGGTGTATGTTGATCCCACCCCCTAATCGTACTATGGTGGCGTGTGTTGATTGTCACCCCCTGATCGTCTCATGGGGGCGTAAATCGATCACCCATTTGACCACACCATGGGGTGGCTTCTTGTCATCCTGATTATCTTTCATACTTAGACAAATTTCTACCACACCTTACCACATCCCACCATTAAACTCCGCCATACTACCCTCCTGTCATCCTAGGGGGTCGTGCTGGCTACTCCATGACCACGCCATGGGGGTGGTCTCCTAGGGGTGACAGTATGATGCTCAACCCCCTCTACACATCATGGAGTGGCTATAAGGTGGCCACCCCCTAGACGTGGTAAGGGGGTGGCGATATGGTGTCTACCCCCTTGCCATGTCCTCCTTGGGGTGGCGGTATGATTCCCACCCCCCTTTCCATGTCCTGGGGGTGGCGGTATGGTCCCCAGCCTTTTGCCATGTCCTGGGGGTGGTGGTATGATGCACACCCCCCTTGTCATGTCCTGCTGTACACTTAGCCAAATTTTGGAATGGACGGCAAGGGTTGCCAATGCCATGACATCATCATGGGTGTCATGGGCCCAAAAATCCAATCCATGTGGTCCATTTTAATTTATTTTAATTGTTATAATTAAGTTGACATTATAAAGTCATTTAATTCCTTGTTTTAACCAATGTGCTATAAGTTTAATTTTGGTATAAACAATTGCCCAAAACTACTTAATGCATAAGAATTATGTACTAAGTAATTAACACCAAGTATACTACTTAAAGCCATGTGTTAGCTTTATCACTACACCCAACGACAAATCGTAATCTTACGAAGTACATTATGCTCACGCTTTGTTCTAATCAAAAGCCAACAACAATTAACAAGCTTTTGTTTTCCTTCCTATTTGCCGCCAAAGTCAGCATAAAAAATTAAAGCTCCTCATTGCCTTTACAGTTTACACGGCCCAAAAATGGGACCAGATTAGGTCAGTATCCTTGCTATCAGTAATTATCAGTAATCCAATCATGTGTCCCCACGTGTCAGCTTTTTCTTTTTATTTAAATTAAATACGGAGGGGCACTAAGGTAAAATTGCACCCCCTATTTAATTATGTCTCTGACGCGCTGATGCTGACCAGATCACATCAGCGCCTTCTCTCTCCTCAAACAACATTTAATTTTCCTTCTCTTAATCTTTAACGGACGATTTCTCACTCGTTTTAAGTCGGAATTTAATTTTTTTTGCACAGTTAGATCAGATTAATTGTGCTCTTCAAAATGATATCCACTTTGATATTTTTCAGACATAAAAAAATTTGTCAGTTATTACCAGTCTATACCATATGGTAATGACTGGTATTGACCATACCATATGGTATGAAAAAATTTGTCACATCAATATATATTACGTTACCACCCAATACCATATGATATAGTGTGGTAATATCAATATATATTTCGTTACCACCCAATACCATATGGTATAGTGTGGTAATATCAATATATATTTCGTTACCACCCAATACCATATGGTATAGTGGTAATATCACACAATACCATATGGTATAGAGTGGTAATATCAATATATATTTCGTTACCACACAATACCATATTGTATAGTGTGGTAATATCACACAATACCATATGGTATAGAGTGGTAATATCAATATATATTTCGTTACCACGCAACACCATAAATTACCATAGGGTATAGTGTGGTAATATCAATATATATTTCGTTACCACCCAATACCATATGGTATAGAGTCATAATATCAATATATATTATCTAAAAGGAAAAAAATAGAAGGAGGGAGAGAGAGAAAAATCGTCTTCTGATGCCTCTCATTTTCTCTTCCCCAATCAAGAACACCAAAATGCCAAAAAAATGAGAAAGATCGGAATTGAGTCCAACGAGTTGATGAAGAGAAGAAATGCAATAAAAGAGAGTGACTACAATTTTTATGCTAGAGGAAAAAAATGAAGAAGGAAGAGAGCAGATCTAGATTTGAAAATGAGATTGTGAGAGAAAAAGTAAGAGAGAAGGCATAGAGAAAGAGAAAAGATCTGGAAATATATTGTAAAAAAGGAAAAGAGAAGGAGGAAAGTTGAGTTGCAGAGACAAGACTTCTCTCTCTTTCATTGAAAAGTCAACCATTGAAATGCGGAATAAATAAAAAAAGTAAAAATACAAAAACGGACAAAAATGTCTCTCCCCACCCAGCTTCCAGTCCATCCACACGTTTTCTCCATCCCTGAATCTACGGCTCGCGTCTTGTTACTGGTTACTGACCCTATCTTGGGCCCCAAAAACGGGTGTTTTGGCCACAAGATATTGCCAAATGCGAATCACCCCTCCTCGTTGCTCTAAATTGCTTCGACTCGATTTGACCACCAAGCCATTTATATATTGGCTTCTAAATTTTGTGTCTCGCTCGGCAAATTAAAAACCGAAGAGGAAAATTGATTTTCTTTTTTTATAAAACCAAAGGCAATAGTAATGAGAATAGATTCTTTCCATAATTGGCAAGGACTATCCTTCTCCTAATAGAACTCTATTTCAATCTTTTATCTAAATCATCTGCCCCCATTAGTCCTTCTTCCATCTCGACACAAATCATGCCCCATTCCATTGTGACCTCCAACCTCATAGTTATTCTTAAACCACGTGGCATAATATCTTTTGAACCTATTGGAGCCAAAACAACATCATGTCCCCTAGTTAATCTCAAATACCATTAATCATACCCCATCCTAATCACCTCACTCCCCATGTCTTGTCATGGGGTTATAGTCCACACCTTACCAAGGTCATAAGACTTAGCATGATTAGGCCACCTTAGTGGTCTAGCAGTATGAGTAATAATTGAGGTTGACCAGTCGTGGCATTATCCTCACATCCAAATCTACCAACTCCTACTCAAACTTGCCAATTTGACATTTTCATATATATAGCCATGATTGGCTTTTCTATAATAATTACTACTTTTTAATACTTATTACATATAATACGTATAGACCTGGCAAATAACAACCCGACCCGTTGACCCGTCCCAAAAATTAAAAATTTTTGTAACCCGAAATCCGAATGACCCGAACTTGATAACCCGTAATTTTTTGGGTCGGGTTGGGTGGGTTAGCGGGTCGACCTGTTAGACCCATTCCATTTTATATATCGCTCCCAAAATGATAAAATCACTCATAAATTGGTGAGATGCTTAAAAAAATCACAAGGATTTGAATGACATGTTTTGGAGTTTAAGGATAATAAAATATCTTGTGTTTCTTGTAATAGTATTACTCTTGTGATTGTTTTTTGACAATTTGCGCAATTTGATTTCATTTCATTAGCAGGGGAGGATTTGAGAATATGTTAATTTACATGTGTTAGATAAACTATTGTCATGCATTTGCGAAAATTTGTGTTCTGTAAGAAAATATGAAGCATGTTTGATATTGTTTCTGAGAACGCTCATAACCTTAAATGACCTGTAACCCAACCAGAAACCGATTGGGTTGGGTTAATATTTGACCCAAAATCAGCCAACCAAACACGACCCGACCCGTAACCGAAGTCACCAACTCGAAATTACCCAACCCGGCCCGATTTCCAGGTCTAAATACGTAGTTACATGCATCATTGATCTCCATACCTTTTGGCAACAACCAACGTGCCAAATGTATACACGCAGTTCCAAGTCCACGGATCAGACCAAACAAGTCAACCATACACCATATGGCAATGGTTGTTCCAAGGAGATGATTCCTCACAAGTTGGGTTTGCATCACTCCCTTCACCATTTTTTTCCCTTTTGACCCTTACCATCACTTTGGACTTGATCATGCTTGTCCTTGTTAGTCAATATTACTTTGGGATTCGTGGTCATAGAGTTGTCCACCTCGATACTAGCTTTGACATCCTCATTTTGTTGTGTTGGTCCCACCATCTCACCAGGTACTACTAGGTATTGCCCCTGTCGTGCTTTAGCATTCTTACGTAGTAATCTCTTTCTTTGAGTCCTTGTCATCCCTCTAGTAGCTATTGGCTGTTGACGATGCATATCATAAGTATGTCCCCCTCCTTGTGGCACATTGGACATTTTCAAAGTCCTTCTCATGAGAGGAGGGTCATATGTTACCCACTGCTTTCCTTGCCCCCAAGCTGGTTGAATGACCCCCTCTACTTGTCTTTGATAAGGTGGGTATCTCGGCCTAAGAGGTGGGCCAAATCTTTGTTGGACTGATCGACTCGGTCTCACTTCATCAAGTCTAAGACTCCTTTTGCATTG